GCGTTGTTTTTGGGAGCTTTAATGACTGGTGAATACATCAACTGCTTGAAGAGAGAGCTGAGGCGTGTCCAGCTGTGCTTAGCCTCATAATAAACTCATAGCAATGTTTTAGTATATTCAGAGGCCACAGATGCACCGCACTAAATCCACAAGGAATCGTGCAGCAACACATAAAGAAATGATCTGAGTCTTTAAAACGTCTCTCCAGTCCGCGGGTGTCCAGCTCCAGTCCTGCCAGTTATCGCTGTCTCTGCTCCAATACCAGAGCAGTGAGACACTGAAAATTAGTGCATCAAACCGATACGAAGTAAATACACGGCCCCTTTCTAAATTGGGGCTAAGTAGTTTGCTCAAAAGGAAAATACAATTGAATTGAAGGAACTAGAAAAAGAATTACGTCATGATTTCCACCATATTGGAAGATGATCATTTATGCATCATATTTTGCTTTCAGGCAAGAAAAGCGATATAACCATCTGATCTTAGTTTACAACCATCTGTTTCCCATGAATCCATATATTGTCCCACTGAATAAGAAACCACATCATCTCATGACATGTTTAGAGGTTGTGTTAAAAAAAAAAAAAAAATATATATATATATATATATATATATATATATATATATATATATATATATATATATATATATATATATATATATATATATATATATGAGAGAGAGAGACAAACTTTTCTATTGTAGATCTAAAGGTTGTCAAGTATATTACCACCACCAGAGGGCGCTCCCATCTTGCCCTTGTGTTGATGTCTAAAGTCTAGTGTGCTTCCTGAATCAATCCAGTGGACATTTGCATGAATGAAATGTAACCTTTTAATATATCTGCTGTTTTTAGTGATCTTACGTAGCAGTTTTCCAGGATATGTCATTTCCTGGAGTCTAAATAAAATCCCCTTGATTTTCTTCTGACAGTATATTATGGTTACAAAACTAAAACTAATTCAGAGCCTGTTCAGAACCACTTTCTCAGCTGCTGATGTTAGAAAGTTCTCACAGACAGTTTCTCATCTCTCCTCTGCATTGTGTGTATACTTGAAGCAGTTACATCAGGGGTGTCCAAAGTGGGCCCTGGTAGGCCGGCATTTCTCTCCCTGGTTTAACGCACCTGGATCAAATGATGGCTCATCAGAGGCCTTAGGAGAACCCTGACATGCTGAGAAGGTTGTTGGTATCACCAGGGAGAGAACTAAAACATGCAGGATGCTGGCCCTCAAGGTCCCACTTTGGGCCCCCCTGAGTTACATGTAAACAGATTATGAAACCCAAAGTGGCCTCCAAACACATTCAAATGGGAGAATTTATGAGTGGAATTAAACTGCATGCACAATAAGAAACTTAGCGGTCCTGCTCTTTGACACGATGAACTTGAACTGGGCACCACTAAACAGTGACCTATTAGAGGGTGATGACCTTTCCAGGACGTACCCCGCCTCTAACCCAATCACACCAGATGACCCTTTGAAGATAAGTAGTTATAGGGTATAGATAATGGATGGATGTTCTGCTCTAATGACTCTGTTGTTCGTCCCACATCAGAACCTGCTGCAGGCAGGGAGTCAGGTACGGCAGAGATTAATGTTCTGACTGCATTTTTTTTTCTCTGTCCATCATGCAGTTAAGTGGATTTTATTCATGAGTGAATCAGAGCAGGAGCCTCAAGTTGCCTCCTGAGATGCATGAATTAGTTAAAACTTTGTCCCGCATATTTACAGCACACACACAACACTCGCACGTCACACTTCACCTTTTCCCAGTTCAAACAAGAGATAACCAACAAAGCCAAGAGCAAGTGTTGCTCAGTCTGGGAAAACACAAAGCATATTAAGAAGAAAAAAAAATCCCACATAAATGGGACTCACTTTCAGCTTCCCTCTCCCATCACAGACAGGAAATGCCCGCTTCCTCCAGGCTTCTTTGTTATGCTGCTTGCGATTTCATTCAATCAGACATGCTCATTCATAAACTACTAGCACAGCTGAATCACCAACGGTAACAACGGAATTTACTAGAGATCTGCATGAGTTCCTGTTCTTGGAAACAGAAAGTGTTTTTAGAAACATATTAGGAGACTATTAGACAAACAGTAAATTATTACAATAATAACAATGTTCTATAATTATATAGAATATCAATAAAAAGCAAAATGATTTTTACTCAAATACATACATATATGTACACACACACACACACACACACACACACACACACACACACATATGTATATAAATAATGTTTTCCAAGTGCTTTTGTAACTTGTTGAAACCACCTGATTGTGTACAACAAGAACTCTGCACCATCTGCAGAACATCGACGTAAAAGTGCAATTTAAAAAAATCATGTTATTTTTATCACTTTTTTTTATCTTAAATAATCCCCAAACAAAAGATAAAACATCAGTAGCTAGTAATGATCATTGACACTTACAACACAGTGAAAGGTCTGCACAGATGAATCTAGATCAGTCTCTCTCAAATGCAACCCCCAAACCACTGGTTGTCTGCAAAGGTACTGCATGTGATGTGAGCTCAAAGTGCGATGCGTACAGTTATATTACCAAAGGATTGTGTCTTGTACTATTATCTTGTACAAGATAATAGTGTACAAGTTGCTTATGATGGGCGTCACTCAAAAGAAAAAGCTGCCAATCTTTAGCTTGAGCCACAGGATGTATTCAGCCGGGTAAGACCTTAAAACGGACATACCTTCAGCTGCACAGGCAGATATGCATCAAGTTGTTTGGTCGTTTCCTGGGTGTGTACGTGCTTCATGTTGGAGAAAAAAATCTGCTCAATCAGAACCGCTTGAGGGATTTGTTTGCTGCAGAAGAGTTTTGTGTTCAGGAAAATCCTCCTTAATGCAACTGAGACTGAAATCAAACAGTCACTGCATTTTTCTTTATAAAACTCTTACTTAACGATGCTGTAAGTCATTTGCCCAATTGACTTTTAAGGAAAGAACAACCTAGATTTCTCAAGTCTTCTGTATCTAAATAAGATTTCTGATTCATTTGACTAAACAAACCAAAAAAAAGTCAAAATTGGAACATGACGGGGCAAGATTTAATGATTTGTATTTTCCTGCCTAGTTTTAGGATCCTGTCATTTGCAGCCCAGGGTTTCTTAAATCTCAAATGCAAAATGGTTGCAGTGACCAGGTCCGATTCCCCAAATTGTTTTTTCCCTTCGTTTTGCAGGGCATCGGTCAGTGGGTTGCATCATTTCAGCGACTGGTTTTGTCAAGCTTGGAGAGGAGAGCGTTGCCATAAGGAAGCTGCCATCCCATCTGAACTTCTTTTGCACAGGATATCTGACCAATTCTAAGATTTACTTGTAATAGTTTCAATAGGTATAGCATTAGGTGATTATTAAGTATTAAGTGCTAGGGTGTTTTCATACCTGATAGTCTGGTAGACTCAATTTGATTGGGGATGAAAATTGCAAAAAAGATTTCAGCTGGTGCGGTCGTCTTTCACACTGCACTGAGTCAAACGCTCCAGCCTAGTTGAAAAACCTCTTCCCTCCCTCACCTGTGGAGGCGCTATTCCAAGAACACCTGGAGGAAACAAAACAAAAACTTCAGAAGAAGAGAAGAATACAACTTCCTTCTTCACAAAATGTAACCAAATACTGGAAAAGCGTCAGATTTTAGCGGTTGTAGGATTTCTTCTTTGTCTTTGGTAAAAGACTTGCATGTTTGTTTTTGTTGTTTACCCAGAGTCCCCTTCACTATAGTCCACTTTCCTGCTTTTGGAGCTATCTCTGGACCACTTGCATCTATTTTTGCATTTGAACCACACAGGAGTTCACTTTAGTAGTGTTTTAACAGAACCACTATTTGCCTTTTGGGTCTGCATTAGAGTTTGATTCCACATTCACACCTCTTGAAACAAACTTTCTAGGCAAACAAACTCAGTTCCATTAATGCAGATTAAACAGGTCTGGTGTGAATGCGCCATTAGTGTGAATAGTAAAACACCAAATATTGACTTACACTGGAACATCAAGTGCAGCAGACAGCTCTCACCGCTCCTTCTCCTTGCTCTTTGAGAATTCTCAGGATTCGCTCTACAGCCAATTAAAAGAAGTTCCACCTTGTCATGTTAGGTTGCAGCAACGGTAGACCTCGCAGTCTCACTCCAGAGAGCCTGACATTTGGAGAAGGCCGACATCGACAATTTCCTTCGGGCCTCTGCCTTGTTCGCGTTTTTTGCATCCACCAGATTGAACAAACGGCAAGCGAACTAGAGACCATCATCTTCAGTCATCATGGTGCCAACTTGGATGAATTCTCCTTCCTCATCCTGACAATCTTGTGTTGGATCTTCATCAGTTGCCTCCTCATCAGTAACGTTGATGTTTTCGTCTCCTCCAAGCACTCGAACGGCGAAGTTTGATCCCTGCTCAGTCGTGGTCTGGCAATCTTCTCACATAGCTTAATTTTAGTTTAGAATTTTTTAAAAAAAATAGAATAAAATGAATAAAAATAAAATCCAGGCTAAGACTGTAGATTCTTATTGACAATGAATTGTTCTTTCCTCCACGAAGCAAATCAATGAATTCCCATGAAATGTAAGAAAATGGAGAAAAGGAAGACAAACTGGCTCACCAGTTAATACTTTATTGGTTCTACTTCTACCATAACTTTCAGGTTTACATTAGTTATACATGTTATAATCCTATTACAACTAATAACCAGCCCAATTCTAATTGGTTCCAAGTTGTATTTGTTCTATACGGTTTCAGGAGAAAGAAAACAGTCATGTGTAAGTTTCAACGGAATTTGTGTCATGGATTGTGAGATAAGATGATGATGGGGAGGATGATGAGGATGGAAACCCCCCCACTGGGTGTTTCTATAAATATGTCAATAAGGGTAGAGTCAATCAGTAATAGTGCTCTCTTTCAGGTCAATACTTGTGAAACCTGACCCAGCGGGAGGCCATGCATGTTCTGATTGGTGAGTAGTGAGGAAGTCGCTGCTTCTCCTCTGCTGCTCATCTCTGGAGAGAGATCTGCCTCTCAGGCAGCTCTGACCCGGGCACCGGGCCGGCGCGCGGGCGGGACCGGCACCGGCTGGTACCGGACCGTTTACCTCACCAAACAGAATCACTCCTTCTTCACGTGGGCTCACGTGGACGTGCCCAGTTATTTTTTGCCTCGGGTTTCATGTTGCAGAAAGTCTTCTGAAACTCCTGCAGCCTCCGGGTGTGCTGGGAGGGGGAGAGAGGAAGGTGGGGCCGGGCGGGGGGTCGAGCTCAGTTCTGCGGGACGCAGGAGCTGACAGAGACGGGCTTTGTTCCGTCTGCGTCTCCTTCTCCTTCTTAACCATTCGGTCGTTTCCTCCCCGCAGTCTTCTCCTGCCTCATGGCCTCCGCCGCCCGCAGCGCGCCTCTGCCGGGGAGCGGCGGCGCACTTGTTGCGGACCCGCAGTTCCAGGAGATCCTGCAGAGGAGCCGCAGCTTGACGCAAAAGATCCTGGACGCGATAGCGGACACGCACAACTCCTGCGTTCACACCGAGGTGAGGCGCTGCAACCGGGCCGTTTGGGCAGCATGTGTGCGGGAAACTGCTGCTGCGTCACAGCGAGGAACAAAACAAAGCAATGAATAACAATGAATAACATGAATAACGATCTGAGCTGAAGGCTTCAGGCCTTCAGGAGAAATGAGCCTCTGTTGTTCGCTGCGTCTGAAATGCGTCTGTTGTTTTCTGGGCTGCAGTCGGAACCATTCTGGAACTTAAAATGCGCCATTTATGAGCGCGATGGACATTTCAGAGCCTGTCACTTTCTCAGAGATTACAAAAATTAATCCACAAGAATAAGGAATATTTTCCGGTTTTCTCTTTATTTATTTATATTCTCTTTTAAAACAACTTTTTTTTGTGTTTTTTTTTTTTACAAATAAGTCGCACAGGGCCCAAAGCACTTTATCATTTCTTTTTTTGTTTTTATTTTTGCATTGAGGAACGTCTTTAATAAATGACAACAACGAAAAAAAACCACAACCTTCAATTTTGTTGTTTTAAATCATGACTCCAGTGCAGGCACGTGGGGCATAAAGAGTCCAAATGAACAAGTAGCTTTGAATTATGACTCTTAGATTTCTGACTTTAAACAATCTGAGACTATTGAAGCTGCTGTTCAGGAAGCATCAGAGAGAAATGTGGCGACTTTTTCAGAAAATACAAAGTTTTGCAGCCTTTATTTGGTGTGGAGCTAAATTGACTCTACTTTTAAAGCTTTATGCTTTGATATCAAATGAAAAGAAACATCACATATAGGTAAAAATAAATTTTAACATTAGGACTTTACATGATACATGAAATAAGTATAACTACTGTTCATCTAAATAGGTCAAAAAATATTGTGTGTTATTGCTAATTATTTTTTTCAGAATTATGAAAACATTGTAGATGTTTTGAGTTTGTGGCTTCATGCTGAATCAAAATAACTTTCACAGAGAATCTGAGCGAATCTATTTAACATTCTCCACCACAGACCCTAAAGTTGGATTCTTCAGACATTGGCAGGTTTTCAACCATGGCGACCAACATTGGCATCCCCACACCTCCTGTCCTCACAGCGGTTTCAGAAAATTTCACTCTGGTAAGCGTCTCCCGTTCATAGAAAACCTTTTTTTAATGCAATAATAAATATATTTTTAAAAACAAAGACATGCTCAGGTTGCCCCCCTCGTTCTGTATTAGGAGACCGGTTTGAGAGTGATGCATGATGGGCTGCAGCTGCACCAAAGGCTCCTGAGCTCCATCGGCCCTCGACTAGCAGAGAAAGACAAAGTGGTTGCGTTGATGTCTGATGTCAGAGATCTAAAAATCCAGATTGTTAAGGTAAATTTAGTTTTGAAGTCCATATCGCAACTTCAAGAAAAAAAAAAACCGCTTTCCATCACAACTTCCTGATCCGTTTCACAGATGCAGAAACTGAACCAATCGCACACCGCAGCGCCCCCTACGTCGGGCTCGGTGGAACTGCGCCTCCCGGGGGAATTTGAGGTGCAGGTGGCGGCCCACCTGACCCTGGTCCAGCTGCAGGCGTTCAGCCGGGACGTGGCGCGTTGCCTCAGAAGCCTGGAACACAGCGCCGCCGCCGACGACAACCAAAGCTGACCAAATATCGTTTAATCTTTAGCCTGAGCTGAAAACCTATGTTGCCGTTTCTTTGTTATATTTATTGATCTGCTAGCGGATTATTTATTTGTTAAATCTATTTTTATTTATATATTTATTTCTAGAGAGAGATTGTATTTATTTAGGATTTTTTTTAAACCTTTGCACTTGTCAGATGTATAACCAGCTGTTAACACTCTTATTAGTGAGTTGAGGGAACATCTTAAAGCAGCAGTATGTAACCTTTTTAAAAAAAAAAAAAAAAACATTTTTACATATTTGTTAAAATTATCATTATATGATGACAGTAACCTGTGAAAAATTAAACAGCTTTTCCCAGTACCAAATGCATAAATTCACCACTCAACCAATCAGAGCGAGGAGGCTCTTAGCGCTGTCAATCATCCTCGTGCTCAGCTCCTCCTGCTTGCACTTTGCTGTGCTACACCTGGTTCTCCACAACATAGAATGCCATAAATGCCAATGCAATTTAGCATAGACAGTGATGACGGCGGATTAACAGTTTTTCTGTAACAGTAAAGAGGTTGATTTACAGCGCTAAGCCCCGCCTCCTGGCACTGATTGGTTGATTTTGACCCGGAGAGATGCAATATTAGCACTAGAAAGAGGTGGAGGACCTCAACTTTTTCAGATTATGTGTCTCAAAAGATAATGTCACAACATTTTGACAGTTTTAATAAATATGAAAAAACATTTTTGTAAAAGTTACCCTCTGCAGCTTTAAAGACAATTATAGATGGTGTAACATTTAAAGAGAAACTATTTTTGTATCGCTATTTAAAATCTAATATGTTATTTTCTTATGTCCCAATATAAAAATAAAACTGTTGTTTTTTGCAAATACAATTGTTCCGTTTCATAATGATGGTGCGGTGACACTTGCTGACACGCACTGCCTTGCTGGTGAATTGGTTCCGAAATTCCAGCAAAGGACACAGACATGCAACTCAAAGTGAAACGGCGGCTCTGGCGTCACGTCAGAGTTCGTACAGGTGTGTCATCAGAGGCAGATGAGCAGCTGTCACCAGGAAGATGACTCCCTCAGCATGTCATGTGAAAAACCTCAGTGTCATCATTCTGAGTAAGACACCAAGTGATCACGAGAACAGGCAAAACTGTTTAAACAAATGTGATCTGGTCAAAAATAAAAACATCACAGAAGTAAAAGCAAAAGCAAACAATTTTTATTTAAAAACCTATTTATAAAGTCAAAGCTGTATGAAAAAAGACCAAAAAGATACTGTGTGTAAAGAGACAAAAAAAGGGAAGTCAAATACTCCGGTCGGTCCGTTCAGTCTTAAGTTTTGTTTTTACCCTTTGCCTATCTTCGCTTCTCAGAACACGTTAGATTGGTCGGGCGGGTGAGTCTGAGGCTGGAGGAACTTGAAACCAGAATAGTTTAGAGAGCGGAGATTGCTTTGGCAGCCACTCTCCTTCCCAGCGGCAGATTCAGGTCAGTGATGGCCAGCACCACTTTGGGCTTGGCCAGCGCCGGCAGCTTCACCAGTTCTGACACCTGAACACACACAGGAACACACACTGCTGGGTGAAACTGTTTGTGCTCTATCAACAGATACGTTTTTTTTGTTGTTGTTGTTTTTTCATTTTACACAAAGGTCAACAGGCACCAACTCATGACCTACTATATTACAATTGGTATTAAACTAAAGAAAATATTTGCTCGGTGTAATGGCAAACTCTCTACAGAAGGGAGTGAAATATTTTCTCGAATGTCATTTATTCTTGTAATAAATTGATCTAGAACAAAAATATAAATATTATTTCTTTAAGCTGAATTTAACATATTTTACAATTAATTTCTTAGAAACTTTTAACATTTATTTCAAGAGGCAAATTATTATGACTTGCTTTATTTAAAAAAAAAAGAAAAAAAAGTATAACATTAATTCCATTAGAAACACAAAGAGCTACTTATTTTTTTATGTTCTAAAGATACATTAACAACACTGTTAAAAACATTCTGGACTGACTTTGTATGTAAAAAAACAAAACTCAAGGATCAACATCTTATAGACCAACAGAAATGGATAAACAAAGAAAAAAAAATTCAGGGCTTTAAGTCTTAGAGTGTTTTTACACTCTTTTACACTTTTCCCAATCAATATGTTGCGATTGGGAACCAAAACTGCAACATTTGCTCCATTTTCATGTGCTGTGGTTCTCTCTCACTGCGTTGTGCCTAATGAACCAAAACGCTTGCAAAAACTGTTCCCCTCCTCACCTGTGGAGGCGCTGCAGCAAAAACAACTGAAGGAAACAACCCAAAAACCTCTGAAGATGGCAGGAGCGCAACTTCCTTTTTTCACAAAATGTAAACAAATGAAGTGGCAACAGATTTTGGCGGTTGGAGGATTTTTCTTTAGCAAAAGACCTCGAGCCGTCTCTCTGATGCTAGATGTATTTACCCAGATTGCCCTGCACGACTGTCCACGTCCTGCTTTTCAAATCCCCCCCAAAAAATAAATAAATAAATAAATGAATGAATAAAAATCAATGAGGCTTTTCAGTGATTGGCCAGAAAACTGCAATCGATGCATCCATAGCAACAAGGTTCAAAAGGTTTGAGTGTTTCTAAAACTCTGGATGCGTTTGCAACACTCCAGATGTCATCTGTGCTGCTCGAAACATTTTTCTGATTGTTCACCTTTACCCTGATTCTGCTAAACTACTGGCTTGAAAAGAAATGCCAGAAAAAGATGAGTCAGCAAAATTTCATTACAGCAGCAATGAGTCAGCGTTTGCGTAAATTCATCCTAAACTGACCTGAGGGCAAATGTCTTAAGGGCGTCCATTTTGGCGTTCTTAAACCAGCTTACTGGTTTTCATTCAACTCGTGCAAACTTCTCACAACAGCCTTGACTGGTAATTTTTTGATTCTGTCTGATGAGGTGCTCACTTTTTACCGCAAGCGCTAAATTTAAGGGGAGGGATTCCAAACCTTTTCTCAGTAAAGCCTGATTCAACACTGACTCCTGTTCCTTCCAGCCCCTCTTTTTTTTTCCCGTTGTTTTCGCCTCCCAGCTCATAACTCACCATGGTGAAAGGCATGAACTGCAGAATGCTCCCACGGCTTCCCTGCTCCGAGCACTCGACGCACTCCTCAAGAAAACTCTGCACAAACTGGGTGTGAGGCCCCGCCATCTTGGAGCCCAAGATGGAGGAGAACAGGAGGAAGAGGTTGGCTGAGGAGCAGAGAACAGAACCTTTGTTTTCAGTCAGCAGAGCTGGCACACAGGTCCAACAGAACCATCTCAATTTCAACCAATACTCATTTTCATCTAACAGTTGGTTAATGCTTCAAATGAAAGGGAAAATGCAATCTCACTTTCTAGCAGTCATTTATAATGCAATGCAAGTTGCACAAACTAAAGTTGTAATGTAAGAGTTGAACAGCTTCCCGTCTCAATCACTCAGCTTCTTTTTTATTTTACAGTCAAACACCCCTGCTTTATCTACAATAATCATAAAAAGTTAATTAAACTTTTTATTTTCACAATAAAGTTAATTGAATTCCGTAGTAAAAAAAATGCAAACATTGAATTGTGTTTCTACAGTGAACTAAACCTTTTCAAAAAAGCCCTGATGACAGGATATTCACATTTCCAACCACATATCTTAAGTTTGGAAATGATTACTATGTGGGTTTTTTTTTTTTATCTTTTTACCACTACTGAGATGTTTGATAAGAGGAAAATGTTTTCGTGGAGGCATATCAAAGGTTCAGCCGGGTGGCCAGGTTGCGGTGCACAGAGGCTAATGTGTCATAGAACATCCTGCATTAGAAACCCTTTATAGGAAACTTAAACATGAGATCTTAATTAAATGTCTTAAACATGTCCATGAGTCTAATCATTTCTATAAAACAGAATTGTTGGTAGACTTTTGCTAAAACCTAAAGTATCAGACATTCCAGTAAAGAAAACAGGTTTTTTGAAACTAAAGTTACAAAAAATGACTAAATAGGCTATTTGACTATAAATAAATCATAAATCAGAACTTCTCTTCACACATATGTTGTATAAAGTGGTAACTTATATCAGCAGGAAAGATAATCCTGTAATATGAAGCAAATTTGTATCTTGAACAGTAAAATAAACTGAACAAAGATCCAATTAGAAAGCAGTAATGTGGAGTTTAACTGTGATACAGTACAAGATAAATTGCAGTTCAACTTTAGTTTGACTTTATTCACATAAATACTTTTATTCAATACTAAATCTCTAGAAAATTCTATGGGGGAAAAAAAATGCTAAGATATAAAATTGTCAGGAGTAAAAAGTGTGATAACTGACTGAAACTACCACAGATTCAGAGTTACACAGAAAAAAAAAATGAAAATAACAGTTTTAATTCCAATCAGATGAGCAGTGACTCCTCTTAAGACTATTATTGACTAATTATCTTAAATACTCATCAGTGCAGTTATGCATTAATAGTTGTGGGTGATGAGACAACCTTAGATTGTGAAGGATTACGAGGTGTTGATGAGCAAAGCACAAAAAATAGTTTCCATTTTAACAAACATCACATTGTGTCATCCCCGCACTGTGGACAGGAAGAAACATGTCTGCCAGGCAACGAGACAATAATTTTATTTTCTATTCAGTAATATTTAAATTACTTAAAATATCACACTTATGTATATATCTGTTTTATATATGTATGTATGTATATATATATATATATATATATACATATATATATATATATATATATATATATATATATATATATATATATATATATATACATATATATATATATGTGTTTTTTTTTTAACAAATAATACTTTCTTATATTAAATACAAATATAACCATAAGCAATATAGTTATATTTGCATTTAATAAAATTTGACACCTTGGATAGAGTAGCTTGTCCACAAATAAGCAATTTCCCATTGGGGCTCAATAAAGTATATTGAGTATGTTACTCAATAAAGTAATATACTTTACTCAAAGTAATATACTTGGCTGAGGAAGTATATTACTAAAGTATATTGGTAATATACTAATATACTTGATCAAAGTATATGACTATGAGAAAAGTATTTACTTGTTTCCCAATGGAAAATTGATCCCCAATTTCCCATTGGGGCTAAATAAACTATATTTTATTTTATTCTAGAGATCAATACAAGGAGAATTAAAAAAACATAAAAAAATTAAAAAAAATCACATATTAGCTGATTCATTGGTCAACCAACATTTCTGCTTCCTTTCTGAAAGTGAAGGATGAATGCAGCAGCGTTCCTCTTTCAGCCAACTGACAAGGCAAGAGGAAAAATATCTGAAGTTTTGGAACTTTGGTTTTCCCCTAGTATTAATATTAGTAAACATCATACGTATATGTTCATACTTGGCAACCAACTTGATGACATCAGAATGCTTGGTAATAGTGCTGATTCATTATCCTCAAAGAAATCGGAATCAAAATGGGAACTGATTTTTTTTTTACTATAATTGGAAGTCAGTGTGAACAAAACAGCAACAGAAGTGTGTGGTGTGTTTTCGTCGCTTCAGTCAGCTCAGCCTGTTTATTTTACACACATTTTCTTCCATTTCAGAATATTTGGATTTTAGTTCTTATTTCTTTATGTGTGATCGGAGAACAGGCTCACCCAGGACTCTATTGAGAGGGTCCCTCATGTTGACGGTGTGCAGCTGAGACGGAGACAGGGAGCTGCTTATGGACCGGTCTCCTGGGAGGAGAGATGACAAAACAACTGATAAAGTCACAAGCTTTTTAAAAAAAATTATTTATTGTGCCTGCAGAAAAAAGCACAAACTCCAGAAACATTGAAAAACAGAAGAGGGAAGCCACTATGGTCAGGGTTATTTTGGACCGAAGATTTCAAGAGT